TTTTGTCGCACAATTCGGAAAAACATTTTGGAAATAAAACAACAGTTTTAAAGATTAAAATAGCAACTTTACCATTAACACAATATTCCATTAGACCTGAAATGCCTACAGAAGGTTCTATGTGTGGCACATACAGCTACCAATATTCTCACTCCCAGCAAGTGGTGATCTTAACAGGAAAAAGCTACGTGGAAACCATTATTCTGCTTACATCGTTTCAATTTTGTGCTGACTTGAGAGTGCTTTTTAATTTTGCTGCATATTTATTTTGAAAAGGGGAAAAAAGGCTGAAAAATTGAAGTAGGATAGACACTAATTTTGATAGCATCACATATTGATATGGGAAGGATGTATAGCCATGTATTTACAGGTTATTGGTAACTTCTAAAATACAGAAGAACTATATTCTATGCAAACAAGGATAACCTAACTCAAGTCTTAGCTGTTAGCCATCAGGGTCTTGCTGTTCAAAATCTGCTTATCTAATCAGAGGTTCTTGCAAATTTTTCATGGAGCATATTTTCGAAAATGTTAAAATTCAAAACAGAAACAACCTTGTATGTGTAAAGATTAAAAATGATCAGCCGAAATCTTAGAGTAACACTGTGTATCAGGGGCAATATCAAGGCTGAACTATGTGTAAATGTTTACAAAAGGTTTTCATTCAGATTGTAATAGAGTTGTATATAGATCGTAAGTTTATAATTATTTCATTATCACCAGACATAGTAATGAAATTTTGCATATAGACTGAATTTTCCAGTTGTTTTTACTGTTAACATAGCATAAATATTTTACAGAGCTTTTATACGATTACAGCGCAAGCAAAAGCCAGTACCAGTACTGCTATAATTCTTTTCATTACGGGATAATTGTGAGTAACTAAAGGAGATTTAACAATAACAAGCAGAGGGACACAGTCATTGCTCGTATTACTCAGAGCATTACGTATAGGAACCAAGGTATAATGATCTATTGTATGCATGTTATGCATGGTCTGTTAAGCTCTACAAAATCCTCATTTCCTCCTGTACAGAATGTACACAGTGATGATACCACTATGATGAGTTCAAAGTCCAGGAACAAAGGGGTACTTATTCTGATATAGGCACTTAACAATAGTCATCAAATACCAGTCATAATATTGGTCTGCTATTTGGCTGCTGGCATAGTTCCTGAGGGTAACGGCTGATATTTACACAGATATTGTATATATACATGTATAACATGTGTCTGATTTATATATTACGTTACAAAACGCATATTGATCTGTTGAAACATGTGTATATTGGTTATAATTTAAAATGTTATCGGCATTGAGCACCGAGTATGGTAGAGATGTATTGGTCATGTTCTGTGTTTTACGAAGGTCTGTGAGAGAAAGCCATATGTCCAATTAGCTTGTGCTAAATATATATCATTCTCATCGATTGAAACAATTAGCTTGGCTTTGTTAGATTTCTTTTTAATCAAAATTAAACTGCCACAAATCTCTCTTTTGTGTTGTGTTTGTTCATATAAGAAGTTGAGTCGTGGATGAATAGTTAATGATAAGTAGCCCTTGATCAGGAGCTTTGTGAACTACAGCTGCCAATTACATAATTACTCAATATAGGATTTCGTATGTAACGTCTAGGAATATACCTTCCAAATTACTTTTTTTTGGTTCAGCCTCCTTTTTCCTTCAGAAATGGATGAGGCCAGCACTTGAGCTATGAATAATGTAGTTGAGGTAATGCTTGCTTATATACAGTAGGTAGAAGGCAAGACGAGGTGTAATTTGGTAATGTCTACTACATATACTGGCTTCAGGCTCCCTATGTTTGGTGTACATGTTCTCCATAGCTCCAAAGGTGGACGTAAAGTAGGGTAGGGTCTCTCATTGATCCTCAGACAGATGTATTACACTTACAGGCTGATGTTCCTCACCATAAAGATAGCCAAATGTCTGAGGAATTTAGATAACAATCCAGCGTTAAGGTATTTTATCACAATTTATTGCAATATAATGGTTTTACATATCATAAATAATAAAATTGAAGGTGATTGTTCAGCGTTGTGAGAGGACCTTTGTTCAAGGTCATATCTTTTAGAGTATCTTCATTCAAGGTGTTGTCTGAGGACTATTTTGCCCAGGGTCATTACTGTAGGAAACCTGTGTTAAGGTTATGTTTGTGGGAGTGCTTTGTTGAAGGAATGAATTTGCTCATGGCCATATCTGCATACAATTGTTGAAAGTTATAACTGAGAGTAGACATACCTTTACAATAGTTCAGACAGTATCTCATCTGATGGCAGATGTAACAGACCTTAAGGGTTTGTTTTTACCTCGATTGGACAAAAAGTTGAGCTTTTGCAAACCATCGCCGAGGTGACACAGGGGTAAAATTTGATTAAACCCTCAGACACAAGATATTTTGAAGAACCAAAGTGCTCAGAATTATGATATTTACCCACTCGCTTTCTGTCATTGAGTGAAAAAATAAACGACATTGTCCCATATATTAAAAGCCACATGGGTAAAATCTGTTAAGACATTCAAACAACTTCCTCCTATGAACCAAAATACCTTTTATATATATAATAATCATAATATTTGACCAGCAGCTTTCTGAAATGTAGTGCTATGAACTTTTTGAAAAGAATAACTGATATATTTCAAGGTCACATGGGAAAAATCTGCTAAAATAACCATGATTTTTTCTGAATAACTGAAAACTAGAGTGATGATATTTGACATAGATTGCTTCAAATTTTGTTAAACAAAACAACCTTGACCGATATTCAAGGTCATAGTTCACAATTGTAAACCATTGAAATAACTTCTTTTTAGAACCAAAAGGCTTAGAATAATGATCTTTGACCAGTAGTTTGCTGAAGTGTAGTGCTACAAAGTTTGATAAAAGAATACCTTGATCCCTATTCAAGGCCATAAGGTTTAGATTTGCTTAAAGATTCAAACAGCTTCTTGAGAACAGACCGGCATGACATTTGGCCTAGTGCTTTGAAATGAGCCACAGGCCATTTTGTGAAAAAAGAGGCCACTTCAATCAGGGGAGCATCTTTAAGGTTCCTTGGGCTTCTTGTTACCAATCAATTTTTAAACAGCTACGCTACCAAACATAGATCTGTGGATTTTAACTTAATTTAGTACATGTATGTAGCACCCATGGGTTAAGGTGATTAAATTCTGTAGGAAAGACGATAATGAAGAGAGACTGGTCTCAAAAGGGAATGTTTATTTTCAAAAAACAAGATGAGCTATTAAAGGTGGTTTAACAATCATTATATATACATATATATTAATTATTTATGCATAAAAAAAGAAAATATTGCAGAACACTCTGTTATTGACTGCTAACTGGCTTTCAGTGTGAGTTATAGTGAGGAGGGGACGATGAGGTGGCAACATTTGTATGATAGCTTTATTGTGCTTTGCCAAGAAGTTCATAAATGTGTACACTTTACCGTAACTACTTCACTACAAAGACCGAAGTATTGGCCAAAACACATCATCACACGATTGTTTCCTCGGAGGAGGATAAAAATAACAGATCTGCCAAATGTGATATAACAGGTGGGTTCTCATAAAGCACACTGGTTCACTACAGAACACTGTTTGTGACTGTGGAAGTGATTTTGATCTGTTCCCAAGAGAGACCTTGTTTACTAACCATTCTGACCCTTTTTCCTTAGTTACAATGCACAGATAGCTGTTAGACTCTTAAACAGAATAAATACTTACAGACATGCACAGATGGCGGTTGACCTGTATATATGTATATTATTAGCTAGTTCCAATTTTCCCATAGATATTAGTTAGCTAGCTGTATATGTTATCCGGTTTTACACTATAAATAAATATAGACAAAGGTATTATCTACATCCAATTGTTTATATATATATCCAAATATCTGCTTGGGTAAAAACCTTCATTTTTGGGTTCCTGGGAACACTGTAACACATGAACATGAAGGTTTCAGATTTGTTTCAAAGGAGTCCTGGTCATGACCTGGACATTTTTATTTTTTTTATTGTTTTTTACCCTGAAATAACCGTTTTAAGATTGTGAATGTTTATGTTAGGTATAACTAAAAGGTATTATGTTTAAATATTTGTGTTGAATATTGTGTTCAGATGACTAGAAAAACATCCTTAAGATACAATGGGTTTTATATCCAAATTATAAATAATGATGTAAGACTTAACTTGGGTAATGCTCTTAGAAATAGATGTACAATTGTACTATATAATAGTAAGAAGTAATGAGGCAGCTTAAAAGAACAATGATATTCTTGAAGGACCCAGACATCTTGTTTAAGTTTAATTGGAAAGGGTACATTAAGTGATAGTGTTTGCTGGTTTGAGGGAGGTTCAGTGGTTTCTTAGTTTCTGGCTGTGTATTTATAATTTATTACTATAGACTACACAATGTTAAATATTTACCATTATGCTTTTATGGATGCAATTTTTCAGTATCTTCTGTAGCATATTGCTATGTTTATAACCTATTGCTTGGTTGTATAATACATTATCAAGCTCTATGGGTACTTCTTAGCTCTGTGGGAGCGGGATTTTTTAAGGAAGGATATGAAGTTCATTCTGACTACGTTATACTTTTTTGTCATAAATTTAGGTCAAGCTTGATGTAGAAATAATTGAAGACATACATGTATGTGACTGGACCCTTAATTGATGTCCTCAAACATAGTGGTACCGAGATCTAGAAAAAGGAGTGTTCATTGTATCATATGGTAAATTATGAAAGTGTTATCAGATGAGTTTGATCATATACATGTACATGTAAAAAATAGTTGTCTTTAACTTTAATTGCACAAAATACATCAATATTTCAAAGTGGATTGTTGGTAGGTTCACAATGTGTATATTGCACTATGTATATATTGAAGTACAGTTTTGTTATAAAAAAGGTACATCTTTGTTATATACATTTGTGTATATATATATATATATACCTATATTTGATTTGTGTTCTTTAGGAGCAGCCAGAGGAGAAGAGAGAACTGACCAACCCCATCAAGAACCGGGGATGTACCGACATCATCGTCCTCCTTATCTTCATCCTCTTCTGGGCTGGCATGGTTTGTATATTAACAAAGCTTCTTGATATTACATTTTATATATCTGTGTAATTAGAAATGGGAAAATGCACAGCCAGACCAAGGTTCGAACCCAAGACCCTCCAAACTCTAGATGGACACTCTACCAATCGAGGTACCTGGTCCCGGTGGATCGACCCAGTCCAGTTCTGCTGCATTCCTTCGTCCTTTTTCTAAGTCTTCGCCCACGAGGCACAACTATTTACAACCCAGATTCGGGTATCCCTTTACCAAGCATACACCAAATGCTTGAAGAAATAGGAGCAGAAAAATGCATGACCAGACTGGGGTTCGAACCTGGGACCCTCAGAACTCTATTGGTCGCCGAAGATCGACCCCATCCAGTTCCGCTACATTTATATATTGTCTATCCTATTGTGTGAAATTTTTCAGTAAGCAACCATTGTTCGTAAATTTTAATGTATAATGTATATCAGGATCATTATACCGCTACTACTGGTAACTGATTGTCCAGCCTGTCTAGTATGCATAATTATGTTCATACTCCATATAATAATTATATCTGTATATTAGGTCTTATTGAGCTTCATTTATTAAACCGTACAGGATGACTTCTGTTGATTTGATGGGGCACCCTATTAGTTTTGGGGTCAAAATTATAGGTCAAGGTCATTTGTGGCTAAAACAAAATTGTTTCCAGACTGTCTGTAGAGAGTTTTTCTAACTAGGACCTACAAATGTTCGAGTCAAAATGTTAAAAGCCAAGATCACAGTGACCAGTTGTGTGAAATTAAATCATATTCTAACTTTGAATGAAATATTTCCATGAATAACTTACCATTTTCATGTCTTGAAACTAAAGTGAAGGTGAAATAAAATATTGTCAAAGATATAATGTAATGCTTATCGGAGCAGTACATGTAGATTTTAGGGGGCTGTATAGTTTTAGCTGAAACTTCTTAAATTGATGTATCATGACTAGAATGTGTGTCTTGATAGTGGCACAGATTCAAAATGTCTAGTGAATATTTATGAATTAACAAATTTTACTTTTATTAAGGGAAGAAATATTCTTTTCATTTACAATTTCAGATCATCAAGAACAGACTATTAAAACATAATCAATGAAATATCTTTTAACAGAAAATTAACAAAAGAAATTACAGTGCCCTTGTAACATGTTACAATTACTCCATGTTTCAGATATACATTGCTGTGTTTTCTGTGATGCATGGCGATGCCTTTCGCCTGGTGTATGGTTACGACAGCTTTGGCAACACCTGTGACGAGGACAACACTGGGCGATCCATACCCAATGTCTCCCTCTCTGGCATGAACATGAAAAGCAGATCGTAAGTCTCCATACAAAAAATCTGGTCCAATTGAAATACTTGATGATAAGAGTCTGAACCTTCTGAACTATTGGTAAAGGACAATGCAGACAAAGGCACAGTGACAAACAGATATTTATAACTGTACATGATGTTTACATTTAATGATGACAGTGTGTAAATATCAGAATATTGGGCATGTGATGAAATTAGCTTGAACTTACACACAGGGATGTCAGTGATTTGTTGCACTATGATTTAAAGAAATGCTCTACTTTCAAAATCTATGGTCACAAAACCAATCGGCCGAGATTGTCCTGGGAGGTAGGGTGTGTGCGGGGGTGGGTGAGAATGATGACTGAAGCTTGGCTCTGGCTGGTGTTGTGACACTAGGTTTTGTAGACGATATTTCTCTTATATACAAGTGTCTGATTTTTTCAGATCGGGAAGGAGGTAGGATTCATATCTCACTGTTTCTTTTTGAAATGCGATGTAGATCTATACATAACCAAAGTTGTCTCTTCTTCAAACTGTTGCTAGCAATCTGATGATGGTGGTTGGTTGTGTTTAGCATCATGTATCTCCTATTTTGAATGGGGAGGTACGCACAGCTTTTGTACTAAATATGTTGAACAAATGTCCTGTATACTGTTTGTCATGACTTCTATTGGTAGACTATTCTTGTAGTGTGTGCTGTTAACATATAATGATATAAAAAACTATTTAGATGTAGTGAAACCCTGAGGTTAAATAGTTTCAATGATGTTAGTAAGAGTGGACATATAAACATATAAAGATAAATTGTGAAACACTCCAATATGTACCAATACCTTTGCTTGACATTGTCACTATAGAAACCTACCAAATTCATTTTGCATTCAAAGGACTGTGAATCTGTGGTTTTCAAAACAGACATAGATATACATTATTGATTGTTAATAATGGATGTTTATGTTGCAAGTCAATAGGTAATAGATACCTATAATTTTATTTGGAAAAAAAAATAAAATAAAAAATGTATTGTTATTTATCACAGAATCCTTTGTTTTATTAAAACACATTTCCATTAGTTTAACAATGCAAACCATATAACAGCAGGAAATTTGATTTATTATTGCACAGATTTTTTTCTCCATTAAGTGCAGCGACAGTCATATTCCCTAGGAATACCTACTAAAAGCAGTTCTGGTAGATGTGGCACATGTATTCCCACATCTGATACAATATTAAAAGATCTAATAGAAATAATCACAGGTAGGATTGCTTTCCCGTTTTCAGTCTAGAGACTTGTTATTGGCTGTGTCACAGAATCCAGGGTGGCCAGTACTATGTGCTGGTGCTATAGTCAGAGACCCCATACAAAAACCCAAATATGATTAAATATTTCATATATACCTGGTAGTTGCTTTTAATCTGGACTGTTGTTTAAAGTAAAGAAAGATTATCATTAATTCCGAATTTGCTTTCTTAAAAAAATTACAATGATAAAATGAAAAAAACCGGAAAGTGCTTCCCTTACAAATGTATTTTACTCTGTGTAACGGGTCCCAGGAAATCATTCCGTCACACTCTGGAACAGTACACAATCATAGGTTGTTCAACAATTAGATTTGTACTGATTTCAACTTTCAGTACAGTTGAAAATAGTTTGAGGACCATCTGCTTGGATTGTTTTCTTTATCTTTCCAAATCATTTCAACAGAAAATTGTTTACTTAAGTTCCACTCAGCTTGTATGTATTTCTTGAATTTGGACACAGATCTTTGCGTGCAGTGTCTAAGCCTAACCATCTTTTTTTTTATAAATAGCAAAATTGCAGCTTAAATTTAATGAAAATGATGAGATATCACCCAAAAACAAAATGCTTATTGCCATGCCAGTATATATGCATATGTATATACATGTATATAGTATTATTTGCAATAGTTTGTTATTCCTTCTCTGTATGTGATGGTTTGTATATGTGTGAGGATCTTACAGACTCGGTGTGTGCATTGTACACTTTGTATGTGTCCTGTGAAGTTGTTGTTGTTTCTTCTACAAACTGTATCATCAAAGGATGCAGCTGATTTCCTCCTGTATCCGAGTATCTGCAGTAGCCCTGATTACCTACAATAGTTATTATAGGATAAAATTTACACCTCAGATGTACAGGGTGGATCAGTCACTTTATAATGTACAGGGTGTCTGTCATAGACCAGATTACCTACAATAGTTATAGAACAGGACCAAAACTTACACCTCAGATGTACAGGGTGTCTGTCATAGACCAGATTACCTACAATAGTTATTATAGGATAAAATTTACACCTCAGATGTACAGGGTGGATCAGTCACTTTATAATGTACAGGGTGTCTGTCATAGACCAGATTACCTACAATAGTTATAGAACAGGACCAAAAACTTACACCTCAGATGTACAGGGTGGATCAGTCACTTTATAATGTACAGGGTGTCTGTCATAGACCAGATTACCTACAATAGTTATAGAACAGGACCAAAACTTACACCTCAGATGTACAGGGTGGATCAATCACTTTATAATGTACAGGGTGTCTGTCATAGACCAGATTACCTACAATAGTTATAGAACAGGACCAAAATTTACACCTCAGATGTACAGGGTGTCTGTCATAGACCAGATTACCTACAGTAGTTATAGAACAGGACCAAAAACTTACACCTCAGATGTACAGGGTGGATCAATCATCTAGAACAGACAGTTTATAGTGTAAGCATGTTGTGCTATCCTCACCCCAGAATCCACAACCATCAGAACAGACTTCTTATCAGTTAGAGTTGTTCTGCATACATAACGACTGGTTACTGTCATGTATTACGTTTTTGTTCAAATTACTATACGTTCCTGGTCATTTTGTAGTACAGATCAAAGGTCAAATAGTTTTTTGTTTGTTTGTTTAGACTGAACCCTTAGTACCGTTGATCAGTAGAATTTATTTAACTAAATGGACGGTCATTCAACATTATGAGGCCATGTGTTTCTTGCCAATCTCTTAAGTCAAGGTCACTACTAAACGTTAAGAGGTCATATGTCTGCTGTCTTAATTTTTCATTTTATTGAGACAAGTCAGCATTTCAGAGTTTGGAAGTCGTGCAAGGTCCAAAACTGTATATGCCTCATTTAATATTAAATTATTGATGAGTCTAGTGTTTTATTTATTTTGCCTGTTTTCATTTCATTTCATTTTCCATTCATGACTTGACTTATTTTAAGTGCATAGAGTTCAAATGCATGTTTTATTACTTTTACTAATGAAGTTTTATAAGAGCACTGTCTTTCTCTTCATGAAGAATTAAGACCGCAAGGTTACAAAAAGTTTTGTGGTCATATGTCCAAATCAGGCTCTGTTGTGAACAACCTATCAAATTGTAAATCAACAATTTCTTGTTCATACGGAATGATTGATAAGTCCTTTGTTTTATTTATTTTGCTTGCTTCATTTTTTTTCATTCATGTATGCATCTTGTTATATTTAAAACTTAAAAGTTGATAAAGGGGGGAAGAACAGAGTCAGGATCAAAACAAATGTTAATTTATAGAACTTATCGAGTTAGTATTGTAACGCACATCATGTGACTGGATGTTAGTGACCCTCTAAGTTGTATGACAGATCCTGGATGTAATTGTAATTGATTTATATTCTTGTATCTCAAAGGTTTTAATATGGGGTACCCTCAAGATTAAATAATTTAATATATAGCATGAAAATGTCATAATTTTAAAAACATACTTTTCTGGTAAATTTCATTTTGGCGTCAATTTTTCATCATGAGATATTAAAAAATAAAATAAATCACAGGTTGGGGGATTCTAGACCCTTTGTGGTTCATGTTTGATATTAGATATTTGTTTTGATTTACTAAACGATAAATCACAGCTCTCTTTCGTTAACTAAATCTATTGCTTGATTAATTATTTTACACTAATACCATGTTGCAATAGAAATTGTTCGTTAATGTGCTGAGCTTCTTATTTGTATTCTGATGTATCTGAAGTCCCTAAAGGGTATACTCAAAATAACCTAAATCTAATTAACATAAATAGGGAAAGGAAAAGAAAAAAAAGGAGTTTTAGAATTTTACTGTAGGTCTGATATTGACACCTTATGTTCAACTATCAGAAACATCTGTGAAACACCTGTTAACTTACATTTATGTACAATGGACTACTAGTTGATGCCTCGTATGTGTAATTATCTGTGGTCGGATGTCATAATATGTATTTTATTAGAATTAAAGTCATTAGTATTTCAGCCTGTAGTCAACATTTTAATGCAGTTGTTAAATGCAATTGTACCCTTTGGAAGTATATATATATACAGTACCACTATATCATAAACAATGTATACGAAACATATCGTAGGTTTACATTCATATTTCATATCTGTGTTTTCTATTCTTTGATCTGTTGTTTTCTATTCTGTGATTAGTTTAGAGATCTGTTGTTTTCTATTATATGATAAATATAGAGATCTGCTGTTTTCTATTCTATTCTTTGATCTGTTGTTTTCTATTCTTTGATCTGTTGTGTTCTATTCTGCGATGAGTATAGAGATCTGCTGTTTCTATTAATTCTTTTCTTTGATCTGTTGTTTTCATTCTGTAATAAGTATAGATATCTGCTGAGTTTCCATTCTATTCTTTGATTTGTTGTTTTTTATTCTGCTAATTGTATAGAGATCTGCTGTTTCTATTAATTCTATTCTTTGATCTGTTGTTTTCTATTTTATTCTTTGATCTGTGTTTTCTATTCTTTGATCTGTTGTTTTCTATTCTGTGATTAGTTTAGAGATCTGTTGTTTTCTATTATATGATAAATATAGCGATCTGCTGTTTTCTATTCTATTCTTTGATTTGTTGTTTTTTATTCTGCTAATTGTATAGAGATCTGCTGTTTCTATTAATTCTATTCTTTGATCTGTTGTTTTCTATTTTATTCTTTGATCTGTTGTTTTCTACTCTTTGATCTGTTGTTTTCTATTTTATTCTTTGATCTGTTGTTTTCTATTTTATTCTTTGATCTGTTGTTTTCTACTCTTTGGTCTGTAGTTTTCTTATCTTTGATCTGTTGTTTTCTATTTTATTCTTTGATCTGTTGTTTTCTATTCTATTCTTTGATCTGCTGTTTTCTATTTTATGCTTTGATCTGTTGTTTTCTACTGTTTTCTATTCTTTGATCTGCTCTTTTCTATTTTATTCTTTGATCTTTAGTTTTCTATTCTTTGATCTGTTGTTTCTATCTTTGATCTGTTGTTTTCTATTCTTTGATCTGCTCTTTTCTATTTTATTCTTTGATCTGTTGCTTTCTATTTTATTTTTTGATCTGTTCTTTGATCTGTTGTTTTCTACTATTTGATCTGTTGTTTTCTATTCTTTGATCTGCTCTTTTCTATTTTATTCTTTGATCTGTAGTTTTCTATTGTTTGATCTGTTGTTTACTTTTTTATTCTTTGATCTGTTGTTTCTATCTTTGATCTGTTGTTTTCTATTCTTTGGTCTGTTGTTTTCTACTCTTTGGTCTGTAGTTTTCTTATCTTTGTTCTGTTGTTTTCTATTTTATTTTTTGATCTGTTCTTTGATCTGTTGTTTTCTACTATTTGATCTGTTGTTTTCTACTATTTGATCTGTTGTTTTCTATTCTATTCTTTGATCTGTTGTATTCTATTATTTGATCTGTTGTTTTCTACTGTTTTCTATTCTTTGATCTGCTCTTTTCTATTTTATTCTTTGATCTGTTGTATTCTATTATTTGATCTGTTGTTTTCTATTCTTTGATCTGCTCTTTTCTATTTTATTCTTTGATCCTTGTTTTCTATTCTATTCTTTGATCTGTTGTATTCTATTCTATTCTTTGATCTGTTGTATTCTATTATTTGATCTGTTGTTTTCTACTATTTGATCTGTTGTTTTCTATTCTTTGATCTGCTCTTTTCTATTTTATTCTTTGATCTGTTGTATTCTATTATTTGATCTGTTGTTTTCTATTCTTTGATCTGCTCTTTTCTATTTTATTCTTTGATCCTTGTTTTCTATTCTATTCTTTGATCTGTTGTATTCTATTCATTGATCTGCTGTTTTCTATTTTATGCTTTGATCTGTTGTTTTCTACTGTTTTCTATTCTTTGATCTGCTCTTTTCTATTTTATTCTTTGATCTGTTGCTTTCTATTTTATTTTTTGATCGATTGTTTTCTATTCCTTCATCTGTTGTTTTCTATTTTATTTTTTGATCTGTAGTTTTCTATTGTTTGATCTGTTGTTTACTTTTTTATTCTTTGATCTGTTGTATTCTATTATTTGATCTGTTGTTTTCTACTATTTGATCTGTTGTTTTCTACTATTTGATCTGTTGTTTTCTACTATTTGATCTGTTGTTTTCTACTGTTTTCTATTCTTTGATCTGCTCTTTTCTATTTTATTCTTTGATCTGTTATTTTCTATTCTTTGATCTGTTGTATTCTATTCTATTCTTTGATCTGTTGTATTCTATTCATTGATCTGCTGTTTTCTATTTTATGCTTTGATCTGTTGTTTTCTACTATTTGATCTGTTGTTTTCTATTCTTTGATCTGTAGTTTTCTATTGTTTGATCTGTTGTTTACTTTTTTATTCTTTGATCTGTTGTATTCTATTATTTGATCTGCTGTTTTCTATTTTATGCTTTGATCTGTTGTTTTCTACTGTTTTCTATTCTTTGATCTGTTGTATTCTATTATTTGATCTGTTGTTTTCTATTCTTTGATCTGCTCTTTTCTATTTTATTCTTTGATCTGGTGTTTTCTATTTTATTCTTTGATCTTTAGTTTTCTATTCTTTGATCTGTAGTTTTCTATTGTTTGATCTGTTGTTTACTTTTTTATTCTTTGATCTGTTGTTCTCTACTCTTTGATCTGTTGTTTTCTACTCTTTGATCTGTTGTTTTCTATTTTATTTTTTGATCTGTAGTTTTCTATTCTTTGATCTGTTGTTTACTTTTTTATTCTTTGATCTGTTGTTTTCTATTCTTTGATCTGTTGTTTTCTATTTATTATTTGATCTGAAGTTTTCTATTCTTTGATCTGTAGTTTTCTATTCTTTGATATGTTGTTTTCTATTTTATTCTTTGATCTGTAATTTTCTATTCTTTGATATGTTGTTTTCTATTTTATTCTTTGATCTGTTGTTTCTATTCCTTCATCTGTTGTTTTCTATTTATTCTTTGAACTGTTGTTTTCTATTTTGTGATCTGTTGTTTTCTATTTTATTTTTTGATCTATTGTTTTCTATTCTTTGATCTGTTGTTTTCTATTTCATTCTTTGATCTGTTGTTTTCTATTCGTTGATCTGTTTTCTATTTTATTCTTTGATCCGTAGTTTTCTATTCTTTGATCTGTTGTTTCTATTCTTTGATCTGTTGTTTTCTATTTTATTCTTTGATCTGTTGTTTTCTATTTTATTCTTTGATCTATTATTTTCTATTCTTTGATCTGTTGTTTTCTATTTATTATTTGATCTGTAATTTTCTATTCTTTGATCTGTTGTTTTCTATTCTTTGATCTGTTGTTTTCTATTTTATTCTTTGATCTGTTATTTTCTATTCTTTGATCTGTTGTTTTCTATTTTATTCTTTGATTTGTAGTTTTCTATTCCTTCATCTGTTGTTTTCTATTTATTCTTTGATCTGAAGTTTTATATTCTTTGATCTGTTGTTTTCTTTTTTATTCTTTGATCTGTAATTTTCTATTCTTTGATCTGTTGTTTTCTATTTTATTCTTTGATCTGTAGTTTTTTATTCCTTCATGTGTTGTTTTCTATTTATTCTTTGATCTGTTGTTTTCTATTCTTTGATCTGTTGTTTTCTATTTTATTTTTTGATCGATTGTTTTCTATTCCTTCATCTGTTGTTTTCTATTTTATTCTTTGATCCGTTGTTTTCTATTCATTGATCTGTTGTTTTCTTTGATCTGTTGTTTTCTATTTTATTCTTTGATCTGTAGTTTTCTATTATTTGATCTGTTTTCTATTTTATTCTTTGATCTGTTGTTTCTATTCTTTGATCTGTTTTCTATTTTGTGACTAGTATAAAGATCTGCTGTTCCTATTAATTCTTTTCTTTGATCTGTTGTTTTCATTCTGTAATAAGTATAGATATCTGCTGTGTTTCCATTCTATTCTTTGATCTGTTGTTTTCCATTCTTTTCTTTGATTTGTTGTGTTCTTTTCTGTGATTAGTATAGAGATCTGCTGTTTGTTCTGTTCTTTCGTGTGCTGTTTTCATTACTATTCTGTAAGATGTAGAGAAAGGTGATGTTTTATCTTCTATTCTGTGATAGATATAGATTTACACCCTTCTATTGTGTGGTTAGTTTAGAAATCTGATGTTTTATATTTTTTGATTGTTATCTTTTCTATTTGATAAGCATAAATGTTGTTTTATTTTCTTTGATCTTATAATTAGTTTTTGGTTACTCAGGTTCTGCAGAGATCTACAGTTTTCTGTTCTTTGATCTTCTGTTTTCTGTAAAACATATAAAATATTTGACAAACATCAATAATTACATTAAGTTTCATATTTCAGGAACTATGAAATCATGGTTATAATAAGAAAATAGATGAAGACCATTCATTTTAGTTCTGATTTCAATATATTCTATTATTTTAAAGGGTTATGAATTTTACATTTCAGATTTGTGTTTTTTATGGACATCAGTAACCCATCAACCAAGATGTCTTTGTGTGTAAACAAATGTCCAGACTACGACCTCAAATCCATCAATGAAGTGCGTGACTTCTCTCAGTCCGAAGGATCCATTCTGTGTCGCTACGACATCAACTTTACGGACTACAATCAGGCAAAGATAGACGAAGGCTCTTGTCCCCAAGTGCCAGTCTTGGCCAGGTTTGTTACAGTCCTGGCAAACAGCTTTGATTTTCATCTTGCAGGAAATGCTAGATAATATATATTTACTTGTAACCTGATGCAGTTAAATCCGCCTTGTACAACACAATCTTACAAATGCCATATCTGCAGACCTAGACTTCCGCACTTTTACTGTAACAATGTATTACTTCAGTGTGGCGAGGCTATTACATTTTATGGCTACTTTCAGAGCTTTTCATTTAAAGGTTGAAGTATTGATTTTACAAGCGTTTAATATCAGTTTGGTGGAATTTTTAGACACGTATGGTGCTGTCAGTGGTACCAGGAAGCTGTAACAATGAGATTTACCACATGTGTTTAATTACACAGAGAGTCTGTTTAGTTGATGCTAATTGATCTAACAATAGTCTCGGTTTTGATGGGGGTCTTGTTCTATGCACATGACACAAATAAACCTATATCTACACAGTTCAAACGTCTGTTTTTCAAGTCGGTTCTATGTGCATTAAAGATGGTTTATTTTAGTGTATCGGAACATTTCAAAAAATTGTGGTATGGTATTTGTATATTGTTCCTTATGCTAGGATATTATAAAATAATGTTCAAGACGATTTGGTAAATATTTGGAATTAATAATTTGAAAAGCCACTGTTTAGGTCAGAAAATTATTCTGTCTTTGTTGCATAAATAGGTCTTGGTACTGGGTCATTTGTTCAAAGCAGTGTGGTGAACTTTTTGTAGAAGTGTTTGATCTATTTAAAACATTTGAAGGGAGAAATTTAAACTAGAACAATATGTTTACCTACAAATTTTGACAAATCTCTCTTTCTAAACAACTTAAGTCAGAAATAACATTAGTTATCAGAAAATGAGCAGTATTGAGACGGAGTGTGATGAGTAGTAGACTACAGATTCCTGGTATACTAGCACTGCAGTGGCCAGTGTATGTCCTGTGCACGCATTGAACAAAATGACCCAGGTATTTGGTGAACCCAACTTCAACATTTCATGTGCCTGTAACTGTATATCTTAGTTGTAGCTGTAATGGTGTGTCACTAGAGCTGTAGACTGGTTGATTTTGCAGTGAGTCGATCCTGAATTATTGTGTGCCCAAGACCTGGAGCGTGCTGGCCCCAAAGATTGGCAGTGGCTTGCTGTCATTCTTTAACAAGTTTGATATGTTCCATAAAATTGTGCGGGACGTGTGCCTGGTTTGGCGGGAGATGATTGTCCTCTGTTTTATCGCCCTAGGTATACCATCCATGTGTAGGAGACAAAACGTGGAACGTCTCCAACGCTAGTCTTGTGTATTATTATCATTGTTGACACTTAACGCACAACAGAAGCTTCAGTTTGTACCACAAGAAGCCTCATTGCTGCATGAAATTTTAGATCTAATCAGTGATTTCTTGCCTGAATATGTGAATGAGGAACTAATAAATTTCTTAGTTAATGGTAAAATTATTCATAAATTATGACTGATCTGGTTACAAAAATGATAGCATCATTGGTTTGCAGTTGGCAAGCTTGTGGAGACAAACTCCAGTTTGTGTTGCTAGTAGAACAGTGTGTTCAGTTGTGAGAATACTTTATAATTTGTTTTCTCCGTTTTTTACAGTATCCCTTTGCTGAATAGGTGTGTTCCAAAGCATTTGACCAAGTTAGCCAACCAAACCCTAATCAGACTATTTGACTCGCTAAATGATAGTGACTTATTCCAGAAAGTACTCAGTGACCTATACACCAGCTGGAAAGAAATGATGGTCCTGTGTTTTGTTGCCTTAGGTATGGTTCTAACCTGAGAATGGGTTGTTTGTTCTACCTCTTACATTTCTACCCTCTCCTATATATATATATATATGGGGATGTGTCCATTCTCCAGACTGCTGTTGTACAGTAACACGCTAACAATGCTGCTTACATCTTCGCTGCTTCTCACTGGCTATGGCACTAAAAGCACTACCACTGTCATCTTCCTAAAACTGCTGCTATGCATGGTTAGCTTTACCAGTGCTGTCCTCATCCAGGTGTGCTTGACTTTACATTGAGTATGTTTTTTCTTTAATCTGGATTAAATGACCAATAAATGTAAACATAATTATTCCAAATCTATGTGGAAATATTGGAAAATTATAATATATTTCAAACTACATATCACGGTCTCCTGATTTATAGTTACGCTTGTTGATTTTAACAAAGCCTCAAGTAATTTTCCAGTACTGCGTAGCTTGCATTAAAATTTAATGACTACAGTTTGGTTGTTACTGACCAATTAAAAAACAAGCACATTGCCCGATAGACAGAACTGTGAGCTAACCAAGTCTTGACTGCTACTGCTACTGACCCTGTCCTTGGTAGAGCCAGCTTTATCAAATCCCAACAAAACGACATACAAGTTATAATATTTTCATTTTTTTTTTTGCATTTGGTCCAAGTCCCCTGGAAGCCATTTGTTTACTACATTAGTGCATACTTACCCTTGATGTCTTGTATTGCGTTTTGTTTTTTTACTTCAAAGCTTAATTGATTATACAGTGTGTTCCTAACTGGAAAATTTAAGAGTCATTCAAACAACTACTGACATTATAGATAGGCCTTTTATCATAAGGGGTAATTAATATTTTGAACTCATTTGCCATCTTTTTTTTTTTACAATTTGTTGAGTGTCTCAGCCAATTGTAAAGATGACACCATAATTGAATTGCCAAAGAATGTGAACACCACATCGATGTTATTTGACTAAGGGGTATATAATTATGGCAACCAATGCATGTGCATCATGTTTTTCTGTCTTTGAAATTAAAACTCTAACAAATATTACAATAATAATACATCTCTGATAATTTTCAACCAAGATATATTTGGAAAGTGTTTCAGTGATGGCTTTTTGATTTTTGGAATAAAGTAAGAAAAAATTAATTTGTAAAGCATTAAATCACAATACAGGCTGTATGTTTATGACAAATTCATAAGCATTATAACTGATGCTGGCTATTCCTCGGGATAAATTTCTATTGGATGTAGCCATGTATATAGTGATGAGGTCAAAAGGCAATGATGAGATGTTTCATGAAACTATCCTTCTGTTAGAAGTGATGGGAAGTGTAGGGTTAAGTAAGCAGGAGTACAGGAGTACACCATACACCATTGATCTACAGGAACAGGCATGTGTAGATCACAACTAACTTTTTACCTCCATCTCCTTTGAAACATTATTAGTCCTTTCATGATATTAGCAACTGGAATTGTTCATTTTGAAAACTGAGCAAAAAACACCTAGGTAACCATGGAAACATCAATATTTAAAGTGTTCCTCCCTATTTATAGACAGATGGAATTAGGGTCTTACACTGTAATAGGGTTTCACCTAAATTTAGTGTAATACTAGTATTACGAGCAACGAGGCACTAATAATGTTTATGTAATTCATGATATACACTGTACCAGATATTATGCAATTAGGAATTGTAACGTATTTACATGTAAACAAAGTTGTGTGGGCTAATTTTCAGTGCATCTGTCAGAGTAAATAAAATGTCACTGTAGCAACTACAGTGGTTCAATGGTGTGTACATCGTAATACAAGTACTTGTGTAAGCTCACTCTGGATGAATACAAAAATAGAAAAATTGTCTGATTAAGGAGTGTGATTGAATTAATGGTAGGATGAGACATGTAGTAATACTTGTAGTGGTAAGAGGGGCTATTGGTTGGAAGGGTAGAATGTTTAAGGGTACAGGTAAATCAGTGAAGGGCACGAGGGGGTAGAGGTAAATCAGGACTAGGAGGGTCTGGAATTTGTTTATGGGTTTAGGTAAATCAGTAAAGTACTATAGCTAGGAGGGCCTGATATTGGTTTAAGGGTACAGGTAAATCAGTAAAGGGAAGGATGGTTTCAGATTGGTTGAGAGATTCATGTATATCAGAAAATGTTTGGAGGTTTTGAGATTGGTTTAGGTAAATCAATGAAGTGTACAAAGGTTGGACACTGTTTTAGGGGTCCAGGTAAACCAGTAAAAGGTAAGAGGATGTGAGATTGGGTTAAGGGTTCAGGTGTAGTAATTAATTAACTTTTGTTAGGTACAATGTTTGATGACAGGTTTGATAAAATAGTTACCGTAGTTATAAGGTTCAGGAAGGTTTATCAGTTAGTCTAGCAGTACAGGTTTTGTACCGCAACAAAAACAAAAGGGAAAAAATGTAGAAGTTTGTTCCTTTTGTAGCTTGCTTATAGAACAATGACTTTGTGTGATATTGACTGCTACCCCTTGCCTTTGCTTGTGAATGTATACAACCGATGTAGTGATTGCTTATAATAGGATATTCCTCTGCTATGTGTGCATGTAGAACTCTCCCTTGCTTGGCCCCATGTGAGCAATTATGTGAGCAATTATTTTATCAAAATTCTAGATCATTCAAAACTGAATTTAATTAAGCAAAAACATTGCTGCATCATTGCCTTGCATTCAACAAGCCTTTATGGTGTTGCACTGTAGTACGAGTTACAGGACCCAAACTTTTGGAAGTTATCACTGTTGGTTCTCACAATAGCTGTGACGAAGCTAGTGTTTAGCTTGACCTCTTGTTAACTAGTACCTGGCTTTCCTGTGGATAGATAGTTAACACATTTGTATCTGTTTGATACCGCAAGTATAACTACAACCTCTAACGGTAACCTAACAGTGTTAACATCAATATTCTATAAATCATGTCTTTGGGACAGTGATGCTAGTAAGCAAATGGCTCAAAAGATTTAGAACAGCTGGACATACCTAAAACTGTTCGACAGATGAAATATCATAACATTTGCATATGTGGTTAGTATATTCATTAAGAGCACTAAACAATGGTTTATTTTTATGTGAAGTTGAAGATAATGCATACCAAATGTCCTATAAGGGAGTACATTTTTGTGTGTTTGAAGTTTACATTATAGCGACCTCCAGGGTCATAAAAGTCCAATATTGTACAGTGTTGAATACCTGCTTGACACATAGATAGAACTGTGTCAAAATCTTACTGTCGAATTTCTAGGCCCAGTTTTATGTTAATATGAGAAAGACTCTTCAGAGGGATTAAAAATGTTTTTATAGTGCTCATTTCTAATGGTGAAAGTACAATAAGTCATATTTAAAATGGGTTGTGTTAAATAATTAAGCAAGAGCCTAATCAGGCTACATAATGTACGCTTAAATCACAATCATGAAACAGAAGTTGTAAACAAATCTTTGGATACACTTCGGATTGCTTCACACACCACAGGGCCACATGAACGTTTAGGTGTTATGTTTACCTATATCTGTTGTACCAAACTCATGATGTAAGGGATTTGATGTTCGTTTACATCTTCCTTAGCAATTCCTCGCAGTCCTTATAGATCACAAATTGCCATTCTAGTTGTGAATCAGGCTTTCGTTGTTTTGTACATCAAGTTCACATATTAGATCACTTACCTGCCATGGTCGACGTCTGTACAATATATTATGCAGAAACACATTTTTGCAATAATTTGTAGTAGCATAGTAAGTAATACAATTGAATATGTTTTACAATTGCGCCAGACTTAACATATTTCATTTTATCAGTTGTTAATTGCTGTTGAATGAAGACAAACCATAGAAACTTTGTTTCGTTGGTCTAACATAAGGAAAATGTATACCATTAGGCTGCATAACATATGTGCAATATGCTTAGTCTCTCTCAGTAATCATCCACCATTGCTAATCTAATTAAAAGCTTAACTATTTAGAGGTGTAATTTAGTACAATTGGGACTGCACAGCATATCAGAAATTTTATTGTTGGCCAATGAGAAATATGAATATAACTTGGTAATGGATCCATAGTTGGTCAATAAGAAAAGTGGGTGGAATCTGGCGATAGGTCAATTAGAGGGCAAAGTCGGGTGGTTTAGGGTGGTCGGGTGGTGCAATGGATAGCGCACCTGTTTTTCACCAAGGCAGCCAAGGTTCGATTCCCCGATCGGACGTAAAAAGGTATGGGGTCACCTGCCCGACCATGTGGGTTTCTCCGGGTACTCTGGTTTGCTCCCACATTTAGACCCTCAGTGCGCTAACATACCGGCCAACAAGAGTGATAAATATAAGTTGGAAGAACTTGTTTCATAATTGTTATAAAATAAATAAAGTTTATTTATATATATAGAGGGCAGAGGTTAAATGAGCCGTGTTGTGTTTCAGTGTGTCTGGTTCTAAATATTTTGTGCAGCTAACGATGTTTGGATGAAATTTAACAAATTATTGACATGGAACATGTGCTGGTTTATGTAGTGAGCTGTGTACTAATTTTAAGTAGAACTTGCTGTGTGATCTAAAAGTCTATTCTGCTCAAAATCTTATTCTGCGATATTTGTGAGAAAGAGCTTTACAATAATTCAGAATCATGATTTATTTATTTATTATTTTTCATTATTTATTTTTTTAAAGATGAAGACTGAATCAATAGTAAAAACAGATCATCATCATTGATGGACAATGGCCCTGCTTAGGATGGCCATTGTTTTGTGATGATAATTCTAGATGGGATTGATAGTTCTATCATAACATTACAACTTGATATGATGTAGTCAACATGTCTATTATGTATTTGTTATAACTATTTATTAACTCTTAACTTTTTCCTGTTTATCTTTGCACACTACCAGGATTTGGTATGTGCCTGTATCATCCTGGTACCTCTCACTGTTGTACTTCCATAGGCCCCCATCACACTCCCCACTGTAATACAGCTTTGCTCTGCTATGCTTTCTCTCTTATAAGTCGACAATAGAAAGTTTTGTTCTCATTCATGCCAAAATTTTTGTCATAGTGGAAGTAACAAATATTCTTACATTAGTTGAAAATAAGCTGACTGAAATTATGAAATGTTCACACGATACAGTTCCTTTCTTAATTGTTTATGTGTTAAATACTGACATGTGTCTAGGGGTTGCTTCATTAAGAAATAACCTTAGCCAATAATAATTCTCTTAAAAATAAATTCTTAAAACTATCATAATATATTAATTTTTCGTCGAAAGGCCAGGTAAATGTAGCTTATGCCTTGGTGCTGCATTTGTTGTCAACTTTTCCTTTGAAAGACTACTACTCCTGAATGGATCAAGTGCTTTGAATTAATTTGGAAATGGAGAATCTCTGAAAATTTCTACTTCTTGAAGTATAGGGAAAGGATTTTACCCAAATTTGACATTAAAAAACCCATTTGGCCTGGAGGCTTATCCTGCATGTTAAATCCCCTGAGCAGTAGGTCTTTTACAACAATAATTTAAGCAGGATGTATATATTTTAACTATATTTTGTATGAAGCTACAGCTTTCCAGGGCCAAGGGGATTCAATGTTGTATGAATGAGGGATTGGTTTTATAAGAAATCCAAGATGGCCACCATGGTATCAAATTGTTGGAAACATATTTCAACTTCTTTTCTAGTTCAGCAAACAAATAAAAATAGGTGAGCAATACCAGCCTCATGGGCCTCTTGTTTATTCTTGAACACATAAAGATATGTGTTAGGGGAAGAACATTTTAGTTGCTCAGAAATTAGTAAATTAATATTGAAATTGATTTAATAAGTATTTTGTAAAACGTAGAGAACACATAAATGACATTTTGTTTTGGCATGACTTGTGAGATATTGCACTTAAAAGTCTGGACACATCCTTCATTTAATTTACTGAAAAACTAATTCGAAAAATCCATTTCATCACTAACTGTTTCATCAGTTAATTGTCTAACCTCTAATGAATTGTAACACATTCTAATTCTGCTTATGTCATAGCTTTTGTTGGTTTTCTTTTAAGGCGTCGATATGAAAGTTTTTACATAAATATGTTCTATTTTCAGAGAAATTAATCATTATTTTCAATTATCAGAAGAATTCATCCAAGGTATTTTGGTTTAAAGAAGAGATATGAATTTGAATCAGTCCGTTTCATTCAATTAATACAGAACACTATTGAAAACCAAGAATGACACAAGTTTGTTTTATACACTAACAAATATAACCCCTAACACTATACCTAACGCATGCTAACACAAATCAAGGACTGCTCATTCCCAGTTACAGGTATCACTGGCAATGCTAAACTCATCATCACTTATAGAATCAGCATCATAGTGCTGATATTAGACAAGGTGACATGGACTTTATCCCCTTTATCCCCTTCGCACTGCTGACTTACGTAAAACTAGTTGTTTGGGTGAGAGGTAGGGGTAGGGGTTGGGAAGTGATGAAAATTTATCTGTGAAAGAAATCATACATGTAGTAATGGGTAAGTGGAGGGAGGTAAAAGTAGCTGGCTGGATTGTGGAGGGCGGTAAAAGTAATAGATTTGTGGAACAAGGTACAGGTAATTATTCAGTGTTGAATGGTCATTGACTAGTGGACAGCGTTCATGGTTATGGATTAGTGGAGGGAGTTAATAGGATATGATAGGTGAGGAAGCTAAAAGTTATCGGTCAGTGAAGGAAAATAATGGTAATAACTTAGTGGAGGAAAATAAACAGCTGTAGTACAATGTATTAGTGGAGGGAATTAATAGCTATCGTATAATGTATTAGTGGAGGGAGATAAAAAGAACTGGAATAGAATTTCTTAATTCCTTGTAGAAAAGAAATGTCTTTGTCATTTGAATAATCATTACTTTAGAATAATCATAACTTTAGAATTCCCACGTCACAGATTAACTTAAATCTGTAAACATGTCATTCCCGTCCAATCATTATTATCATTAGGGCACCTATGCAGGTTTGGGATCACACCTCTTCCAGCTTGTTAGATACAGCACGCCTTTGTAGGCATGGCGCACCAGCTGCAGAATCATGTATATATGCTTATCCTTAGTTTTTACAAGTTCAACGGGCCGTAAAGGCCAAGTGAGCATTATCCATGGCGCATTACCCATCGTCTATCTGAACATTTTGTCATTTCGACCTCTTGGAAAGTATTTGGCCAAACTAGAAGGACATCCATTCAGATTGGTTCCACAGAGCTCTTTAGAGTTCCTGAAAATGGACAAAAAGGATATTATCTAGTAAAGTTATCAAAACTGCTCATCTGAATTTCTGTTATAATCAGATATTTTATCATAGTTAGCATGTTCGAGAGATATACTTGAAATAATGTAAGGGTAAGTCCAGAGTTTTGACACAGGTAATACTTTTTAGTTGTAAGAGCAATGATACTTCAAAGATCTACTTACCAATAGGTGAGAGAGACGGGCCTGCGGGGCCTATGTTACGGTAACCTCTTTTTACCTCTTCACCTTCTGATGGACTCACAAATTGTTCAATTAAAGTTAGTTTTGCAATTATTTTCGTGATTCAAACTGCTTGTTTGGTTGTTATATTGAGTTTGTTTTATCAGATTTTTTTTCTGACATGCACTTGCAATTTTCTTTGTTTATGCTTCTTCATTATTTTAAGTGAGATATTTTTTCAAATTATAATTTTCTTGCTTATTTCTATGAAATAATCAGCACAGTTCACTTTAATCTTATATTTGATATAACATTGTCTTAATGCTTATTTTGACTTTAATATATTTGTTTAATTCCTTTTATAACATTGTTTTTAAATGTTTTGTAAAATTGCTTTTAAAGTTTTAAGTGATTTCTTTCTCAAAAGTAAAAGTACTTTGAACTGTATCTCAAAATTCCTAATATAAGACCAAAATAGAAGTGGGCATGGGAGTGATTTAGAAAAGCTTTATAGGAAATATATATCTATTTCAATAAATGTATATAAAATATATGTTTATGAAATATAAATACAAAATGTATATTCAAAAACAAATATGTGAAAAAAAGAGTTTTCTATATATATCTACAACCATAAAGGCCAGATCATATTGTACGGAACACTTTTTACCGTTTTGCCTGTAGACCTGGTTGTGTGTACTAAATGACAGAAGTACAGCTCATTTTACCCCTATGTTAACACAGCTACAGGTGTTAAAAACTGAACCTGTAGCAAAAAATATCTCTCCCTAACAGATTGAAATAGACAAACTGCACTTTTACTTTAGTGTGTTGAATGATGTACTTCATGTTACTTTTACCATAATTATAATAATAATTATATAGCTTAAAAAACCCTTTAATACATAGTGAACCATAGGGAAAGGCTTATTATCAGTGTTAGCATTTTATCTGAAGTTCTAGAAATCATATTGTGTAATGTAACTACCCTATATGTACATATTTTTGCTGTTTTTCAAAAACAGAAGTCTGAGTAAAAAATATTTTAATCGATAGTCACAGTTGAAATTTAAACTTATTTGTGCATAAGGCTTATCACATGTTTATTCCCAATTAAAAAAAAGATTTCAAATGTGTTCTGAGTAAGTAATAAAAAATCCTCCCCTTCATTGTGGAGAAGCATGGTATGAAATTGTGGACCGTTTGTATGTATGTAGATTACGAGCTTTATTTGTAAATGATGAGAAACAATATTTTAACGTGCCCTGTTGTACTTTGTCAGGATTCGCTGTGTTGATGGTGCTCCTCATCAGGTTCTTTGCAGCATTCATTGTCTGGGTAATCATGGCACTGGCTATCGTTGGAAGTGTGGGTAGGTGTTGATGTGTGCTGTTGTCTCCAAAATGATGGAAAATAGTTTTATTTTCCAAATATGAATCGGTGTAAGACTATTTATATGCCCTTGCCACACATGTGGCTGGTAGCAGGAAGGGTTTAAATCCATCCATTTTTTTTTTTTTTTTTNATCCCTCCTTTTTTTTTTTTTTTTTTTTTTTTTCAAAATCTGTTCAATATTTAGAATACTGTTAATGAATAAAGTACAGTATTTTACCAAACAGTGGTTATCAAGAATAGTAACTAACAGGAATGACAACTTTGCTGACTGAAGATTTTTCTTCAAGGTTTTATTCTTGTTATAATAGTAAATCAACCAGTCACATAAAGTTGCTGTTGACCATGAACTCAATACTCGGGTCACCTGTACTTGATACTTTCAATTTCATCTCTGTGCTCTTAAAAAAAGAAGTTTGTTCTCAAAATCGCCACTGTTTTACACTGTGTGTGGTTGTCTATAAATACATAAAGGTACAATTGAGTATGACCATGCACAACTGAATGACCTCCCGACATTACGCTTCCTGGTACGAGAGGGTTATTTATGCCGTCGGGTGCAAACTCGCATTTATTTTACAGTGGCCACTGTGTTCCTGTGGTGGACCTACGCCGACATTAAGAGTGATATGGACTTGAAAAAGGAGACTAAACGCATTCCACTATTAGATGTGGAGGTGGACAATGAAAAGGCTTTCCTCATCTTCTCCATCATCGCTACTGTCCTCACTGTACGTACTAACACCTCTGTAGGGTTTACCCTCAGGCTTTCGTCTTATACCAGGCATTCATAGTACTGTATACTGGGATTTTTTCGCCTGATAAAACTTTCATCCTTAGCTGGAATAATCCATATTTGCTCATTGTTAGTTACGCCTTCACATTTAATTACTATGCATATTATGTTGTTTACTAATGATTGCTTGTAACGATAAATTCGCCTTCATTACCGTGGAGAGAAATTGGCTAAAAGTAAATTGCAGTGAACTTTTTTTTGGTTTACAGTAACAAACTGCCATCTTCACTGAAACATTGTAACCACTGTCACATAATTTCTATTGTAACATAACCCTGGCAACATCATTACTATATATGGTTACACCATTACCACTGTGACATCAGAACCACTATAATATTGTTACTATGGTAACACCATTACTCTAGACTGTAATAACATTATCACTTTGACACACAATCACTGGTAAGGTCATTACTATGGACTGTTATTATGGTAACACCATTACTATGGACTGTTACTATGGTAACACCATTACTATGGACTGTTACTATGGTAACACCATTACTCTAGACTGTATTAACATTATCACTTTGACACACAATCACTGGTAAGGTCATAACTATGGACTGTTACTATGGTAACACCATTATTAGCTCACCTGGTCCGAAGGACCAAGGTGAGCTTATGCCATACCGTGGCGTACGTCCGTCCGTACGTCAACAATTTCTTTAAACGATTTCTTCTTCTTAACCACTGGTTGGAATTAAACTAAATTTGACTGGAAGCATCCCTAGGTGGTGGGGATTCAAAATTGTACAAATGGCGGGGCTGACCCCCCAGGGGGCTGAGGGGCGGGGCCAAAAGGGGTCTATTTGCCCATATTGCTTTAAGCGACTTCTCCTCTGAAACTAAGAAGTGGATATCAACCATATTTGACTGGAAGCATCCCTAGGTGGTGGTGATTAAAAATTGTACAAATGGTGGGGCTGACTCCCCAGGGGGCTTAGGGGCGGGG